TTAAAATAGGAAATAATTTAGGAGACAATCAAGGGATGATAAAGGATTTGAAATCACGCCACCCTTGACTTCTTTACTAGGGTTTCATGCCTCCTTGCATGCAAGAGGCTCAACTTGTAGTCTTCCTTGCATTGGGCTAAGGTCTGCATCTCTTGGGCTTGACTCTTCATGAGTTTGGATCTTAAATACATTATACACGTATAGATGCTCTCCTTTGGACTTGAGGGGAGTGCCCCAATGCTCTCCAAGCTCTTGAACTTCTTGCACAAGACTGAACAAGGCTTGCTTCATGGCTTTGGTTCGGGCTCTTGTCATTGGACCTCCAATATGTTGCAATGGGTCTTTAGGTACGTTGGATTGGAAGTATTGGGCTCCTTCTATGTCACCATGCTCATGATTACCATCCTCAGGCTTCGTTGCCATTAATGCTATGTCACCCGTGCCATGGGGTCCATCAGTTATATTCTTTATTTTTTTAAAAAAATCCAATATAATTTATAATTAGGCAATAATTGATTCAGTGGTAGAGAAAAAGGACGGTCTAGCAAGAGTCGTGCCTCCAGATTCTCTTTCTGGTTTTTTTTTTTTAATAATAAGGTCACAGTCTAAACAATGCGAATAGAAATTAAACTAACGCAAATTAATGCTTGATGTGGTTAAAAATATAATCATTTTCTCTCAATTAATCTCAATTCAAAATATAAACAATTTAGCATTTGTAAAAATTTTCTTTCTCATTTTATCCCTTATAATTATGAACATAAATTCCAGTAAATTCCAGTGTCTAAATGTCTAAACGTATGATCCTATTCTTAATTATCATAAAATAGAAATAAAGGTTAAAAAAAACATATATTTTGATGAGACTACATGTGTTGTACATTTTGGCTTCTAAATTTATATATAAACTGTATATACGTACGCGTTTTTCAATTTTTTCAATTTCAACCTTTCACATATCATATGTTTAAATCCTAGTTACACTCCAGAAATGATCCTCCATTATTTATTTTGTTTTTATACAGATAATTGTTGACACCTCATCATATGAGGTAACCATATCGTCTGAACATATATTTTATGCCTTCAAATTTAAATCATGAGATGAAGCATTGTTTCTGCTTCATGCACCTAGCCCACCTTTTTTCTGTCTTCCAAATGTTTCTGTCATTTTCATTCTTCTCACTCACATCAAACATTTTTCAGTCCATGATTCAACTATCAACTTTTAATGAACTTTGCTTGTTTTACTGAATCTCTTCCACGCACTAAATCTATTCATGAATCTCAAATTTTCTTTCTTTTTTATTTTTTTCTCTTTACAACAAGATACAGAGCACAAATTGACCTAATCTTTATATCAAAGACCTGTAGTATTTCTTCAATTTTTATTATTCTTCTAAAAATAAATTAGTAATTTTTCAACAATCCCGAATAAATTCTAAGAATCAATTAAAACAAAAACCCAATTGATAACTTTTTTCATGCAAAAAAAAATGGCGAGTTAGATTCCAAAAACGCATTAAAACTAAGCCTCATATATAGCTTAAAAAATGTTTACAATAAAATTAATAATAAAATTCTCATATCAATAATAGAATTTAAACAGAAAAATTATATGCAGGTTATGTAGAGTAGACTTATTTTTAAATAAATCTCATGAAATTTAGATCATAGCTAGATCCCATTGGATCTGAGTGTAATTTACAATTAGGGTGCAAATATAATACTTCCCTTACTTATTAGGTTACAATAACAAAAATGCCCCTCTCTCAATTAAACCTTATGCATGTTCTGTTTGTTCACGATCTCTCTTTAATTTGCCTTGCTCTTCCTCACCAATTGAAGCTTATATAATTATTTTTGATCAACACTCTCTGCCTTGTTTATACAAAGCAACTCCTTCATCATCAAAATCGATTGTGATCAACGCTACTTGTCCTTGTTTTTATGCTTGCTTTGCATGCTAAAGGATTTATCTAAATCAACCAGTAAGATTTCATTATTCAGTTTAAGTTTTCATTAATTTAAGTTTTATTTTTCATTATTCAATTTTCAGATTGCTCTATGATCAAAGCTGCTATGTACAGGGCTGATGAAAGGAGATTTGACTATTTGCAAAAAGGTTAGAATATTTGCTCTGCTAGATACAATTTTGTGTGTGTGTGTATAGAGAGAGAGAGACCATAATTCAATTATGAGGAAAAAGTCATGCAGAACAAAATTTGTTTGAGTGATATCCTATAATTATTGAAAATACATGATTAATTTAATTATTAGATATATAAAGTTATAGTTATAAAAAATTACAGTGATAGTTATAAATTACTAACTTGAAAATGCATGATTAGTTTAAACTTGTTAGTAATGCATGATTCATATATTGAAAATGCATGATTAGTTTAAACTTGTTAGTAATGCATGTCATTTTAACTATTAGATATGTTAAGTTATAATTATAAAATATTGAAGTGGTGATAATAAAATGTGACAGTTGTATACAATTAGTATTAAACTTATAATGTATGATCAATTTAATTATGAGATATGTGAAGTTGCAATTATAGAAAAGGAAGAATTTAAATAAAGACCCCTTGACCACATTTATTTGAATTTAAAGCCCCTAAATTTTTAAAATTTCACTATAGTCCAATGGTCTTGAATTAATATTAAATTTTTGAGAAAATGACAAAATTGCTTTTCATTTACAATAGCATCAGAACTGCCTTATTTCACTTGTTCATTTACATACGGAATGTTGTTAATTGCCCTACTTCACTTTTTTATTTCTATGGAATGAAATCAAGTAAAAGTTTGACAATGAAGAATAGTCAGTAAATAAATAAACAACATATAATATATGAATCAATAAGTTGTCTTAAAATGATTTTAACACCAAAAATGAAAACAAGTTAAGTAGGATAATTAATAATATTTCATAAGTAAATTAACAAGTAAAATAGAACTATGAACAAAATTGGAACAGGAAAGTTCTAATATTAATTTAAATTAGGAGCAACTTTGTCATTTCTCTCAGAATTTTAATATCAAATCTTTATAAGAGTGTCATTCCAAAAATTTAGAGGTTTTGAATTTGCATAAATGTGGTTAAGGAGTTTTTATTGAAATTCTTCCAATAAAAAAAATTAAAGTGATACTAGTAAATTATTAATAAAGTAGTTATAAATTATTTAATTGATGTAATATATTTTTAATAAGAACATCATTATCTTTGCCCTTCAATTTTAAATTATACTTAGGTCCCAATAACTTAGTATAATTTTTAAATCTTACAAGACTTATTTGTTTAAGCCTACTCTTCAGGACTTATATATAATTTTTGCAATTTAAATATATGAGATATACTCCCCCCGGTCTTATTTATAAGTCATTTCTACCAACTTCATCAATATCAATACAATAAAATTACAAGGAATAAAAGTAAGTGAAATTTGAAATATAACCCTTAAGTAAAAAGCAAAAAATAAGTTAATTATATAATATTATTTTTTCTGTCTTTCTCTCTCTTACTTTTTAAGGATTTCAATTTGAAACAAAACAATTCCATCAATAAATAATTTATAAAATATATCAAATTATGCTTTTAGAAAGTGACTTATATATTGGATCAAAAGAGTATATGGATAAATTCTTTGCCAATTCAAGCCCTTACCTGTCAGTACGTCTTCTTCATATCCTTTTTATAAGTACTAATTAATAACTTGATATAAATTAAGGAAGTTGGTTAAATTAATTATTTCTTAGAAAACTTCATAATTACTCTCAATAAAATTGAATAACTAAATTAATTGTTACACATTAGTAAAAAAAAAAAATCAAACACTAAATTACTGGTTCTGTATTATTTACTAGTTGGGGCCTTTACTTCCCCCGTAATTTGATTTTAATTTACTACTTGCTGTATGTATGATGTATCTTTAATTATAATTTTGTTAAATGATTAAATCGTTTTAGTTTGACAGCAACAGTGGCCAGCTAGATGTACTAACCTAACATTTTGATTCATAAAGTAATAATAAAAGAATATATAAGATTAAAATAAATAAGTTGAGACAGACGTGGAAGCTTAACAGTTAACACTTAATTACTTGGAACAAATATATAAGAAATAATTGTGCTTAAGATCGATTAATGATTAACAATTACTCATTAATTAAAAATCTCATTATAGTATTTGAAATTCCCTCTCATCAGAAGATGCTAAAATGAATGTCTATCTTGTTTTACATTGATTAATTATGATTCGTGAATACCAAATATTTGGTATTATTCCTAAAATAATTTGAAGTTGGTTCTAATATACTTTATTAATTATTTTAACTAAAGTAATTATAACCTTAAAGTGGTACTACACTCTGTTCGACTAACAAATTAATTGTAGAATAATTATGTCATGAACAACCAAACGTTTTTTTTTTTCCTTTTCTTTATTTTCCAGCTAATCGGTTTCATTTGTAGACATATATGCCTAACACGCATGTGTTTGTTCCACTTGAAATATCAAAATTAAAACTTTGGCACTAATCTTAGATCTAACGTTCAAAATTTTACATGTAGTGTTTATTAAAAAAAAAATTTACATTATTGAGTCATGTATTCTCATACTCCTACTGTTTGAGATCAGTCATACTCCTACTGTTTTCCATATGAATGGAGAAATTGATTTAAAAAGTATATACTGTATTAATTAATAATTAATATTGATGTTGGATATCCATATAAAATCTTAATACAAATTTAATATGTATTATAAAATCAAAATTAAAAAAAAAAACTCCAAACCGTTAAACCAACTTCAGAAGTAGAGAAGGAGATAATAGGAAATAAGAAAAGATCATATATATATATATATATATATATTATTTTATCATAGAAAAGACCATCGTTTAATACAGAGTAACTCTGATTTTTCTCTAGATTATTTTTGTTACTTCTTCTATTTTCTATAAGAAGCACAAGCAGATCATGTACTTGATCACTTTGAGGAACAAGATAACTGTTTTATATATCCACAATATAAAATACCCAAATACATATCTGTTTTTTTTACTTTTTTTGCCAACAAATACATATCTGTTTCAATATATATAATTTAACTCGGTTCCACCAGATTGCCAGCTTATTCCGGCGCCGGCGACTGCAGAACGCAAAAACAGTTGAACTAGTCCTCTGATATGCTCTTTAAATAGGGCTGCCATACACCGGAACGGCTGTGCCGGCGATCCCTACTTGAGGGTTTCTTCTCGCCGGAGACTACTCTGTTGCATTGTGATGATGAGGAATCATGAGCGTCGTCGCCGACAGTACACTGCTTGCTCATCTTAGAGGAAGAAGCTGTTTTATTGCCCTGCTTTTTCTTCTCCGGCAACGGCGACGACGGGATCAAGAAGTAGATGGTGCCTCTCTTGAGCTCAGTCTCCGGCGAGAGGATCAAAATCCGGCGAACAACACCTTGATCGGTGGGTTTGCTGAGAACATGATTAGGGTTAGCCTTGAGAACTTCTCCGGCAGTGATCGGACCTGTAATCTCTTCAACACAGCCATTCAAATGGACGATTCGAATCAAATCCAAAGCTCCACAAGGAAGAACACAAGCCAAACAACACCTTAAGCTATTTCCCATTCTTTGATGATCGATCTATCTTTAGAGATCTCTCTGGCTCGATATATATCAAGCTTTGAACTTTGGATCAGAATCGATTTTTGTGCTCAAACTGTGGAAGGGGATGGAATAATGATGAGTTGGGTCTATATATAGAAAGCTGGGAATGAACAACCTCAGATTCATGAAATGATGATGATGAAGAAGTGGGGTTGTGAAATGACGAAAATGACCTTAAGAGAAAGAGTGATTTTCAATTCTTTGGGTTTGGATTTATTCTCACATGGTGGTGGGGTTTTCCTTCTTTAAGTGATTTAACTTCAAGATGACTTGTGGTGCTTTTGAATCTGTCTAAATTGTGGCTGCTATGAAAAAGGGCAAAAATTATATACATGCCTTACATAATTAATATATTTTTATTTAATTAAATCAATACTTATAAACTTTAATGTGTTATAATATTAATAACAAAAATTATTAGAAAATCAAGGAAAAATATAATCATTAGTTACTATAGTTTCATCTAATTTTGCTTTAATTCTTATAATTTTTTTAAGAGTTTTCAGTTTATATAATTTTAAAAATATTGGGTAATGCTTTTTTTTTCATGTCCCCATAGTTTCAATTTTTAATTTTAAGTATTTTTAGTCTCTATAAAAATTAAAAATACTGAAAAAAAATATAAGGATTAAAAGCAAAATCCTATGAAGCTACGATGACAAAAAATTATGTTTTTCCTAAAATCAGTAATCTATAAAAGATATGCATGGATTAAATATATAAGATTAAGTATATGAGTTTTGCGAGAAATTACTTAAACAAGTTGGTTATGAATTTGTCATTTTTCCTTCCTTAATTTGATCACTATCTTTTTTCTCATCATATCTTTTTTGAAAAAGCACTTCTCCATATGATCAACGTGCATGTGTACGTATTTCATCTCAAGTCTAAATTAATATATGTGGATTTCTCAACTGTTATCATAGACCTTTAGAAAGAATAGAAAGTGAATTATGAGTTTCACTTTATTTTACAATGTGAGTCGCTGACCCAAAAAATGGCCACGTTTTAGATTTCTATACTAAAAACGTGAAAAAAAATTAAATTTGTTATATAGAAATAAAGAAAAATTTGGGAGATTTTATAAATATAACTCATGTTATAGGACAAAATTTATAAAATTAAGTAAATAACTCAACATTTATTACATTTTATATTATGATCGATTTGTTATATTTGTCAATGATGTATGATTGTATATCAATGATAAATTTCTTGTAAATTTGTAAATTTTTAACAATAAATCCTTATATATTAATTATAATCTTCTTGTATATTAATACGAAGTGGCCACACTCGAAAATTTTTAAAAGTTTGATCCATCACAAGATTTTTTGTCCCAACCAGTAGGCCAATTTATCTAAAAAATTGTTAGAGTTTTTTGGTCAAATTTTTATTACAGATTAACCTTGCAATAATAGACAATTCCCATCACAAGTATGAGTCATCCCAACATTTTTGCAACAGATTCGCAACATTTTTATCGCAAACAATTTGAAATGGATTTTATGTTGGAATATTTATTTATAGATTAACATTAATTAATAAGCCCAAACAAATTAGTCTTTATGATCTTGTATGAACCGTGATAGATGGACCATACAAGTGAGCCCAATAGGCAGATGCTCAACCCACAATTCAATAACCGTCAGTTATTTCTTATCTCTTAACTGACTGAGTCAAAGATAATGTAATATAATTTTTTAATTATTTTAATAAAGTAGTTACTGATCTGATCTTTATAAGTCGATCAGTTGATAATTACTAAACACATGATATATTTTCTTCTACTCTATTATCTCTGCATTCTCTGAAATCTCTGGGGTCTAATGGGTTGTGTGCCTGTCTACACTTGAAGTAATCGAACTATTTCAAGCGATCAATGGATTCTTCAGATACGCATATGTTACTTTATTCTATCTTATTAGATCATATATGAATCGAGCTATTAGATTTAACATTTTATAGCAAAATTTGCAACAGAGATACATGAATTTTTGACTTTGTTGTCCTTAGTTTCTCCACACTTGTCTCATGAAATACACTTCAAGCAATATTGTTTTTCCTTCCACACTTATACGTAAGTTTTTTTTTTTTTAACTACCTTACTAGAACTAATGATAGATATTTAAATTATTGATAGTCTCCCAAAAAAAAATCAATTTACCCTTATTAAATGTACTATATTTTACTCTACTTTTAAAAAAATTGTGAAAGAGTAAAATTTGAAGAAAATGATTAATATCCATCTTTTTATATAAAGTGACCTATAAAAAGAAATATAAATTTTTATTAGAATGTGAATTATATATGCAGAGAGAGAGAGAGGACTAGAGAGAGCGTATCATGAAAATCCATGAAACTCATGTTATTTATTTATACTTATTAAAGTTTTTCAGACCACCTCTTTCTTACAACACTATATACAATAAATTATTCGAATCTGAACTCAACCCAAGAGATGTGTCAAACACATTTTAAAATCATTTTTGAGAATTAATTCATTTAAATTCAAGGTAAAAATAATAATAATATTCTTTTAATCTCCAATGTTTCTTTATTTTTTTGTTTTGCGTAAAAGAAAATATAAAATAAAATAAAATAAAAACTGTCTCTGATAAGTTTTCTATTATTAATTTAGATTTACTTTGAATGCACACATTCTATATATACAATTGTTTTTCTCCTTGCAGCTGAAGTCTTTATTTCCTACTATTTTATATTCTGCGCATATTGCGCTATTAAATAAATATATATTCTAACAGTAGTATTTACATGTTTATTAAAAACAGAAAAATGAAAAGAAAATTACATTCAAGTCTCATAAAAAAAATTATTACTGTAAGGTCTTATAAATTTTATAAAATACTCATAAGTGTTAAATCTTTGCATATTGACAACTTGATTAAGAGTATTGACAACTAAACAACGGCTATTTATAACTTATAAAAAAATAATAACTTATAATTGTAAGTTATAAATGACCTTCAATTATCAATACTCTTAATCATGTTGTTAATATATAAAATTTAAAATTTAAGAGTATTTTATAAAATTTATAGATCCTCCCATGACAAACTTTTTCTGTAAGACCCGAATGCAATTTTCACAAAAATGAATCACCATTTCCAATATAACAGGTTGGGTCGATTATATTGTAACTTTTATATTGTGCATGAGATCCGAAAGCTGCCACGGTAATTTTGGAGATTATAAATAAACATATTGATTCCTCACTAATATTTTATAATTATCGATAGAAGACAAAATGAGGGAGAGTTATAAAGAATCAATTCAATTTTATTAATAAATAATTTATTACAATAAGGACAAAGCTAGGAATATGTATTGTTTTCCCTCTGAACAAGATCGTTTTGTGTACAAAAATTTAGTTGAAGTCTTTGCAACTGATCTACATCAGGGCATATATTCATATTCAAACAGTGCTTCTAAAAATATTTTTTTTAAATTTAAATAATGCTTATAAAAATACATCTTCAAACTAAAATACGGAACATCTTTTAGAATTTTTGGTTAATTCAAAATATCAGGAACTTGATACCTTTTATAATTGTTCTTTCAACAATATTCTTATTTTATTTATTATTTTTTAAAAATATGCATTAAAATTTTAATTATTATTATCAAAGCACTTATATAAAATCTTTAATGAGGATAAAATTGAAAAGATATAAATTATTTTAAGAAATTAAAGTTTAAATTAACAATTTCTTAAAACCATATATTTTCATTTAGAGAAAGTATTTATAAATCATTCACTAATAAAAAATCCCTCTATATGCCAAAAAAAAAATCCCTCTATAAGGTCACATGATTAAATTTCTAAACGACGTGGTTTTACTCAATGTGCAACATATTTTCTCATAAAGATCCTTTGAATAAAATTAGACTAGAAATTCAGGAAGTAAAAATTTTCTAAATTAATTCAGGATATTCTTGGGGAAATCATTTCTAGAAGTTATAGTATTAATGTACAATAAATTAAGACTAAAGAATTGAAACGTGGCAAATTTTAGAACAGCACTAAATATTCTGGTGTGCCATACATACATCTTGAAGAAGTAACCTTCTGATGATTCGCCAGAAATTAATAAATAATTATGTAAGAATTAATTTAGAAACTAATAAAGCTACTATGTTTTAACTTTTAAGTAGTATCGTTGTGTTGCTTGAAAGGAATTTTGATGGTTGCTTGACTTCATGAACCCTTAATTAATTAATGTATGGAGATTGTACTAATCGGAATATAGCCGTCTCATACTCTAATTAATTAAGCAAAGAGAAATTTTTTGGCCGTCTAATATGGTTATGTGACTATGATTTTTAATTTATTAACAATAACAATTAATTTTACACTTATTTTATCAACACGAATGATAAAGCCTATTTAATTTTTTATGGCCAAAATCTATTTAATAAAAGAAATGCATTTACATTCCTACTTGTTCAGAAATAAATATTGAAATCTAGTAATTGAATTCTTTTTTAACGTTTAAGAATGAGAGAAAAAGAGTTACACTTGTGTGTTTTTTTTGGAACAAAAACGTGTGTTTAATTTCATATTAAAAAGCACTAAAATCATGATTTTGAGCAATAAATGAAATCACTGTCATCTTTGTTGTTGAGTATTAATTTGAATTTTCTATAGTTTTAACTTCTAAGGAGGATATAATATATACAAAACAATAAAAATAGATCAATTTTCAAAAATGAATCATGTATATAATTTTATTGGTTTATATTATTTTATTTTTGAAAACATGTTAAAAAGAAGGGTAATTAGCAAATTAGCCTCTAAACTATAGATCCATAATGAGATCCTCCCAAACTGATTTCTGGTTTAATATTTTTTTAACTTTAAAAAACAGTGCAATATGATCCTATCATTAATAAAACTTTTCACCTTAATTGATCAGAAAAGGAGATAAAAAATTGTAGAAAAGGACCAATAATTTTTTTGTCATTTTCTATAATTTTTGGATTATTGTATACAACTTTTGAGTCCTTTATTATAATTTTTAGTACTTTTCAGTAATTTTTGAAGTTATTTTTT